CACTCTCGCCTGCATTTCGCGCACTCGACACGCACGATCTCCGCAGAAGGTTGCGTTTCGTGGCGGTCCGGCGGCACTGCCCCCGGCCTTAAGAGAGAAAGTTAAGAAGAGCGAGAGGTGAAGATGTGAGCTGTAGATGTGAGGGTGTGAAGATGAGCAGAGATGTAGATGTGCAGATGTGAACATGAGCAGAGATGTAGATGTGTGAAGATGAAGGTGAGCTGAGATGTAGATGCGAGGATGTGAAGATGAGCAGAGATGTAGATGTGCAGATGTGAAGATGAGCAGAGATGTAGATGCGTGAAGATGAAGATGAGCTGAGATGTAGATGCGAGGATGCGAAGATGAGCAGAGATGTAGATGTGCAGATGTGAAGATGAGCAGAGATATAGGTGAGAATGTGGATGTGCAGAGGTGAAGATGTGAAGATGTAGATGAGACGTAGTTCTGCAGATGTTTTTTTACGAAGAACCCTTCGCAAACGCTCTCGGGAAAGAAGGAGAACATGCCAAACCAGCAAACGATTCTCTCGCAGCTGACAAGATCGTACTCGGCATGCTTGGAGAGGCAAACGCATGGAACTGGTTGAGTACACCAAATTGCAGAAACAGCAAACGCAGCGTTCGCCCAAAGCTTCGAGAAACCCACCCGAATGCCTGACGAGATGCCAAAACGGGTTTCACCGCGAGATAGTAGAGATAGGAGACGATTGGCTTCACACCGACCTGCTGGATGCGCATGTCATGCTCGAATTAGTTCAGTTGGCAGCTTGCATCCCCATTGCATTGAGTCTCTCTACAGCATAAAACGTCAACTCCATGGCCCACGTTTCGCCGGGCGCCCCTTTGTTCAGAGCGCTATATGCACTGGCGTGGCACTGGCGGCGCAGCCTACGAGACCTGACGGAAACCCGACAGAATCGAAGCAAACCCGGCGTGACGAGGTCTAAACAGCTGGTTTCACCACGTCCAGGTCTCGAATTCGCAACGGAGAGGAAAACTGACACAAAGAATGAGAGAAAAACGAGGTTTTTGGTTTCGTGTTCTTGAATTGATTTGCATCTTTTTGCTCAGTCATTCCGGGTCTACAAAAAATGGACAACCAGCTGAGTGAATTCTAGTTTTGGGATGTTTTGGGTGCTTTCTAGCTGGCCTGTGGAGTTCGTTTGGCAAGTAAAAGCATGGAGTAACTCTGGGTCCATGGTCCATTGTCTGGGTTGGAGGACATCGCTAGTAGGTTGGAGGCCATCGCTAGTAGGTTGGAGGCCATTACTATTAGTAGCCGGTAGCAAGAAGCTTGCCATTAGGAGATGTCTGGTGAGTTGCACCCAGAATACACCCCAACTCACCTGACCCTTCCCAGATATGGCCTTGGTGCACCTACCTGGAATCCTGGAAGGTCGTTCGCTACATGGTGGACCAGGGCTCCAGGTTTTGACCTATCCCCATGAAGTGACGGACTTAAAAACAAAAACAAAAAAAAGGAATTGCCGTTCTGAAGTGTCATGGTCCAAAACGCAGCCTTCTCTGAAATGTTGCATGGCATCGCGGCAGAACCTATATTGGAGGCACTAGTAGGTGGGAGGCCATCGCATGCGTCACAAGAAGCTACAGCCGTAACGACCGTAGCCCTTCGTTTTCTCCACAAACGTCGTCGCTTCGGTCGCCTCAGATGAAGTGCACCTCGTCGGCGCAAAGCTCCACAGGTCCGTCCAGCGGCATCTTCTCCTGCAACTCCTGACGAAAAACGGAAGAAAAAACGGGAAGAGAACCGGAAGAAACGATGACATTTTGCTTAGTTTGTTAATTATTGGTTCCTCAAAATGGTCAATGGTTCTAGGTACTTCATTACTCCGTTGGCCATAAGAATAGGTCTGAGCCAATTCCTGTGCTTCCAACTGCTCTTAAGATTTGTGTGCTTCCCACTCCCCCCAAAAGAGCTCGCCATTGACTAAGCTTCCGTTGAGGATCTTCGGAAATGAGTGCCTTGAGCTCAAGATCTTTTCGCAGTGTGGAAAAAGAGTCATTGGGGTAGGCCCTGAGTGTCTGGCGAACCCCCATGGTTCCATGAAAATTTGAAAAAAAAAAAAGAGAAATTGGAGTGTCTTACAAACAGTAGCTAGAGTGAACGGCGGACTTCGGCCCCCCCCACCAAAAACGCGGGACGTGTACCGCATCGCCTGCTGCATCCTCAGTGCGACAGCTTCGCGGCTATCAGGTCTAAAGACTTGGGCCATGAGCAGCACGAAAGGCAGCGCCAACGCCAGACTTGAGAGGCCGTTGTGGTAGCGGAAGCCCACCGCAGCGAGAGCCAAACCTCGAAGTGGAGAGGTGGAAGAGGGAAGATGTGTTCTCCAAAGCTATGCGCCGATCTCGGGCGACGTTGAAAGAGGAAAAAGAAAAGGAGAATCCATCTCGTATGCCGAGATCGCACCAATCGATCGATTGGTTCTGGTTCCATTTTTGTTCGACTCCTTTCCGAGTCCGTTATCTTTTTCACCAGGTCAGCAACTTGCGAAGCCCAAGGTCTGCAGAGCATTGGCCTGCGGCTGCGCAAAGGGCCGCACCAGACCAATCGCCAAGGCCATGCCAAGGGTGATGGCAATGGAAAGCCAGAGTCCGTCTTTGGAATTCACCACCTCAGCTGCGTGATGCGTGCTTGCTGCTCCAAGGCGTTACACGCCTTGACACCGGTCACCTCTGGGCCGAAATGTGTGTTGAGCCGGCCAAATGTGTGTTCGAGTTTCATCTGGCTTGGATGGTGTCTTGTTTCGTTGATTTGAACAGGCTCAGTGCTCCGCTCAAACACGCTGCAGTGCGGAGATACATACAGCATAAAATGGAGATACATGTAGCATAAACTGCATGATGATATTGCTAAAAAGCACGTAAACCAAGAACAATGCATGCCCAGATTAGAGTTGAAGCAAAATCCTTTCCCATAGGAGTTGATAAGCGATAAGCACTCAATAGGAAATTGATGGAAGTTGTTCGCAGAAAGATGCCATTGCCGAATCCAGAACCCTTCAAGACCGCAAATTCTTCCATCCTCTTAAAGGTTATATACTAATTAGTACAAAAACACAAACATATATAGCCATTGTATGCTATTATATATAGCTTATATATAGATTAGGTCTATACATCGTCTTTGTACCGAAAATGGGCAGTGTCACTCCTCCTCCACAGACTTCAATCAAGGCACTGAGACCAAGGCGACTGCTGCGACCTTCGAACAGACTTCGACCCACACGTTTTGGCACTTGGCCTCGGTGCAGCTCCGGTCCGTGCTTCGCTCCGGCGAAGCCACGAGGCGGTCGGTGAGGTCGGTGAGGTCGGGAAGGTTTCACAGCTCACAGGGTTTCTCAAGGCACTTTAAAAGGCGTTTCAATGCGTTTCACGGGTTGCTCAAACGTGGCACAGAGATCTGACCAGTTGCATACTTGCAAAAGAGATCCTTTGCACCCAGCATCACACCTTAGAGGGCGGAATTCGCTCCGAGTTTTTTTGGGCGAACGGGTCCAAAAACCCAGCGCCGGTCCAGCGAAACGGTGGCAGTGACAAGCCGGTTCGTGCCACGAAAAATGTGTGCCCTCGCGCAGTCTCTGGACTTTCTTTTGATGTGAAATAGTGGTAAATTTGCTACTTGACATGACGATGTCAAATCACTGGCCTTCTATCATGACGATGTATCCACCATTATCCACCTTTAAAAAAAGAGAGGCCTCCAACTGTCCTTTTGCCGGTTGGGCGCGCAAATAAAATCAAATATCCTTGCTGGTTCTTCGGTTGAGTCTTGCCCAGTTGACGCAAAGGACACCATCTGGATCGATGCATACCGAGAATCGATCATCAAGGTCTTCCAACTTGCTGCGTTCGATCAGCATCTCTGTCAATGAGCGGTAGCGAAGTGTTTCGGTCTCCGCAGCATCGAAGACGATGGATTCCACCTCAGACGACGGGACAGGCCGGACATTCACCCCAGTGACGCGGCCAAAACAAGGTGGCCTGTGGTGTTCTGGAATCGAAACCCAAAAAAATCACGAAGCACAGTTTCGATTCAAGACTTTGGTTCCAGGTGAAAGAACTTTCGGAACAATCCGCTGATGAACCAGGTGTCAAAGAAGTGTGTTTTTGCGCGCTCCTTGCCGAGCTTCCGAAAACCCTTCATCCACATTCCCTGCGTCAGCAAAAGACACGATCCTTGGCCACGCAATCGTGCTTCCAGCTGCAGCTGTCGTCTGACGAAGTTCATGTCTATCAACATTTACAGTGAACAAAATGATCATGCTAACTGCTAACTGCTAACTTTCATGCTGAAGCCCACGACAACTGTATCAGTGGCATGGTCTCGAACTCATTCTGCCAAGTGTCGCTGTGCCCTCGCGTAGCTCCACAAAGGCCTTGCCCTTTGCAAGCGCTGCCACATTTGCTACTGCAGCTGCCAATAGGAGCTTCTCATCCTTCCCATCATGTCAAGCTTTTCACACTGTTCAGAACTTGTAACATTTCTTTCTTTCTTCTACTAATCACTTCACACTCAATCCCAGTCCTTGAGTTGCTTAGAGCCTTGTTTTGACATGAGTTCTTGGGAAGTCAAAATCCATTTCCCTTCGCGCTTGATAGCTGGCATCATGAAGGTGTCGCTCTGGCGCATCACGACACGCTGCTTGGCAAAAAGGTATGCCAAGCAGCACGGGATCATAAGACCGTAGCAGACGGCGCTGCTCCAGCCGATCCAATTGACCTGAGAAAAAACTGAAAAGGCTTTGATGTTCAATGAATTCACCCAGCCAGCCAATGGGACCAACATAAAGTCAGCAGTTTATGGCTCTGCCTTCTTCGAAGTGGAAGATATTAACTGAGCTGCCCACCCAGAGCGCGTCTTTGCAGAGCCAATGTGGAAACTGTGGACGGAATGGGAAGTCCAAGGAGACTTTGCCTACACGACGCGACAGCCGTTTCGAGACGAGCCATTGGCCATAAAAGACCCTGTTAGGCTCTGGCTCCCAAATGCGTGGCAAAACCTTGCACTTAAGTCGCTAAAAAAAAAACACTTCGAGGTCTGAGAAACCACGTCGCTTGCGGCCTCCGCCGTCCACCTCTTGGCATTCCAACAGCTGTGCTGTGCCAGACGCGCCACCGATGTAGAGGAGCGTCAGGAGTTTGAGGCCTACACGAATGCCTCAGAGTCTGCTTTTGATGTCTAGCACTCGGCTCATCTCCACTCTCCCCCCCATCTCTGGAGCTAACAAAGAGCTGCATGGATTGGATCTTCAAAAATTGATTGATTGCTGAAGAATGCGGAAACTGCTTCCCTTCGCCTCGGACCATCACCACCCGTCCCACTTCCCGTCTCCGCCAAGTCTCCCGTGCCGGGACGGGCCACGTCCACGAAGCCACAGGTGATGAGAAGCAGCATCGGAAGCACCGGCGTGGCGACGGCGAAGACGGCGCGCACCGTGGTGGGGTCGAAGAGACATTGCAGGGATGCAAAGTTTTGGATCTCAGCGCTGGTGAGCAGAAGTGCTTGCAAATATGATACCAGCACATCACCTCGGTATAGCAAGGGTCACTTGTCAGTACAGCAAGGATGCAAACCACTGCCATCAGTCTTTCTTCACCCGATGTTTCCATCGTTTCAATTGGCCAGGAAACCCAAGCACTTCTCCTTCTTGGCTGTCACCATGGCCGTCACCTGCGTGTTTGCTAAACGGCCAAGCACCACCCATAGTTGCACCAGCTGCAGCAGCATTGGCAGTTCCAAGATCAGCAAGCGAAACACGCACTGCGCGCGCAAGCTCCAAGGGACACTACCAGAGCCAGAGCGGTACCTCGTCGAAAGGTGGCGTCCCATGGCTCCATTGGAGTTTGCTTCTTGGCAGATGGAACGGGTGGAAAGGATGATATGAAATCCAAAAAATGGAGGGATCCTATAGGATAGGGTTCGATCAGTGGCAATTTTGGAGTTTCAGAACACAAACTCCGGGTGGACACATGCATGCAGAGATGGATGGACAATCGATCTAGATGGATATGGGGATATCTGGGGATATGGATGGATTCTATTCGATGGTTTCAGGAGCGACCTGGGACTGTTTCCGGCCTCCAAACGGCTAGGACGCCCATGACGGCCAGCGCGGCGCTGGCGACGCTGGCAATGACAGGCATCCGCCTTGGCGAGCAACAAGCGCAAAATCTGGGGAAGTCCAGAAGTCCATTCCCGAACTCCATTTGACCAAATTGCAGCGAATTGATCAAACCATTGACACTGAACACTTCCCACAAGGAAGACAGTTCGTCCATGGATGGCCACGGTTGTATGCGACCCAGTCGCTGCTTCAGTGGGACGTCGCTGCATTTCACGCAGCGCTTGCCACTGGATCGGTGCATGTCAGCGCACTCTGCGCAGAGCTGCCCTGCGTATCCTGGCTTTCGCATGACCAGGGCAGAGGGGGCCTTGTGACCTCCTTTCAACACATGGGCGGTGTGTTCTTTTCAATAGGGAGATCGCCAACTAATGGGCTTGGATCTATTGTCCTTCTTCCTTGGGGTCTTTGAGAGGCCTCATTAACACGCTACACGCGTTATACACGCCCACATATCTCCGAAAGACACCGAATTCCACTCCGAGTTCCTGGTGCGCAGCTGGAGTTGCTGCAGCGTTCAGCATCCAGACACTGGTAGACTTTTTCGGAGCCCTTCGGCCGCCAAAAGCCCGGCTCCACAGCGGCATCGCTGACCACGGCCCCGGGCTCAGGGCACTGCAGGTGATGCTTGCTACAGGAGATGCATTGCCCATCGCCATCGGCCACGCTCAGCGCTTCCCTTCTGGGGCAGTGGCACTTGGCCTCGGCGTTCGGGCTGTCGGTAGGGAATAGAGCGCCGTAGCGGCATTGGCAAGCATCTTGAGAAGTGCTTGCCTGTGCGGAGGTGCTGTTCGCTGGGCAGTGCTGGCATGCGGATTGGTTGTACTGGCTGTTGAAGCTGTTGCGTGAGCATGCAGTACAGTTGATGCCTGTGCCAGAGTAGCCGGGACGGCAGCCACACATGCCGTTTGCCCAAAAAAACATCTGGAGTTACTCGCACGTTTGGCGCCAGGAAGCTCTGGCAGCCATAGGAGTTCTTGGAGTCCATCCAAAAGCCATCCAAGGCCATTGTTCTCAACTCCTCCTCTACTTTTTCGCCGTTCGACAAGGAAGTCTCAAGGAGCCAGAGTTCGATGTCATTCTGCATGCAGTGGCGGATGACCTCCGGCGCCACTTCCAAGGCTTCGCCGTTCCGACTCACGTCGATTCGCAAGGAAACTGGCACCTTGCGAAGGTGCTGGATATTGTTCCCGGAGAGATCCACAACTTGCAACGATCTCCCCAAGGGGCTGTACCACTGCTGCGTCCAAGCATTATCCACGAAAGCAGGAATTCCATACAAGTCAGGCATGTAGCCCGTGAGGCCGCAGCGCGCTGCGGAGATCACCGTCACCGGCGTGCCGGCGAGGGGAAGGAGGAAGTCCGCAAGTGAACGCTTCAGCGGACACCCGCTAACCTCAAGATGTCAAGCTGCGTCGTCCACTGTCACTCGGTCTTCTTTAGAACAAATGTTCGGCTAAAAATGGCCTGAGTTGCCGACATTCAAATGCTGCAAAGCCGGAAGCCAATTATTGTCCGGATTTGAAGAGAACTCATAGTAGTTGCTGAAACTGCGTGGCCGAATCTCGCTGACCTGGGTGTCCTTGGCACAAGATTAAAAATGCAAAGGCTAAAGTCAAAACACGTCCACTCAGCGCGCCCCTCTCACCGGACACCTGGCCGACAGAACTAAGGACGCGTCTGCCACGCTCAGCTTCCGCAGCTTGCTGCAGCGCGCCGCAGCGAGCGTCCCGTGGAGCGGTGCTCCAGATAGATCCGCCTCAATGAGCTTCGGCCATTTACCACTTAGCTGCTAGTAACAAGGGCATCGCTACTAGTAACAAGAAGCTTCCCGCCTCAATCAGCTCTGGCAACGTGCCAATTTCATCAATCAATCCAGTTAGGTTGGTCTCGCGGAGTGCAAGCTTCTGGAGGGAAGTGAGGCGCCGAAGTGGCTCCAGGCCACCGGCAACTTGGGTCTGGGAGAGGGAGAGCTCCCGGAGCATGGTGAGACTTTGTAGTGGCTCCAGACCGCCAACAACTTGTGTCTGGGAGAGGTAGAGCAACTGGAG